TGGGTCGGCTGGGCTGGGCTGGTTGGGCTGGGCTGAGCTGGCCCGGGCTGAGTGAACTGGGATGGGTTGGGATGGGATGGGATGGGTTGGGATGGGATGGGATGGGTGAACTTGGTTGGGTGGGGCGGGGCAGGACTGAGTAGACTGGGTTAGGTTGGGTCGGCTGGGCTGGGCTGGTTGGGCTGGGCTGAGCTGGCCCGGGCTGGGTGAACTGGGATGGGGTGGGATGGGATGGGATGGGTGAACTTGGTTGGGTTGGGCGGGGCAGGACTGAGTAGACTGGGTTAGGTTGGGTCGGCTGGGCTTCTTGGGCTGGGCTGAGCTGGCCTGGGCTGTGTGAATTGGGCTGGGTTGGGTGGGGTGGAGCTGGATTGGGCTGGGTTGGGTTGGGTCAGCTGGGCTTGGCTGGGTGGACCGGACTGAACTGGACTGGGATTTCACTGCTAAGATCTGGCAACCTTCCATGCACCAGTTGGCTGCAGGCTGCAGGCCACCTATACAGATAGTGCTCACCCGATGGCCATAATGGAACCTGTTCATTGCAGTCATAGATCATAACAGTTGTAAAGTACAATCTACCTGATTATACGACCTTTTTGTGGCAGTTGTTAAGCAAACCAATGGTTGGCTATGTGTGTGGTTTTGCCAAAAACTAGAAGGGTTAATTTTGGCCAAAACCATAGTAAAACACAGTCATGTGACCACACAAGGCGGCAAGTGACCACAAATGGGCAAAAAACCTGAAGTTGAGTCACACAACTGTGAAGGAGGCCAAACCTTTGGAACGTAAAAGCCATGCCCTAAATCTCTTTTTTTTTGGTGAGCCATATCTTCCTTTGTTAAGTGATTGATGGTATGTTGAGGGCTATCTAACAGATTAACAGAGTTGGAAGGGTCATCTTGTAGGTCATCTAGTCCAAAAACCCCACCCCAAGCAGGAGACCCTACACCATTTCTGACAGAGGGCAGTCCAGTCTTTTCTTGAAAGCTTCCAGGGATGAAGCTCCCACAACTTCTGAAGGCCACTTCTGTTCCATTGGTTGATGGTCCCTTTATTTCCAGGTTGAATCTCTCCTTCATCAGTTTCCATCCATTCTTCCTTGTCTGGCCTTTGGGTGCTTTGGAAAATAGCTTGACCCCTTCCTCTCTGTGGCAGCCCCTCAAATATTGGAAGACTGCTATCGAGTCTCCCCTGGTCCTTCTCTTCTCTAGACTAGCCAAGTCCAGTTCCTGCAACTGTTCTTCGTTTTAGCAACCGTTTTAGCCTCCAGTCCCCTAATCCTCTTGGTTGCTTTTCTCTGCACTCTTTCTAGAGTCTCAACATTATTTTTTATTGTGTGGTGACCAAAACTGGATGCAGTGTTCTAGGTGTGGCCTTACTAAGGCTTTACAGAGTGGTGTCAGTATCATCCCTTGATCTTGATTGTATCCCATCTCTACCGCTGCATGCCTGGAACCAACAGTAAGAGGCTGTTGGTGGCAGGGGAACTTGTCGGTCTTCTCCGAATGCCAGGACTTTTAAGATACCAGCCACTTCCAGAGAAGATAAGTGGATGTTTCCAAAACAGCCGTTTTGCATGCTGCCATATCCCCCACAACCCCGCCCTATGCAATAATGGTTGGATTAGATTGTGAAACACGTTGGGCAAACGGCGGCTGATGTGCTTTAAGTGGTTACTCAATGGCCGGAATGAGTTTTTAAAAAATCTTTTAAAAGATGCAGTCGGCTTGCCAGCGATACTGTTTGCTGCTAAAATTTTAGCTCCAGGAAGAAGAAATGGAGCTGGAGCTGTTTGGCCACACACAGAAACCCCTCCGGTTTTGAAAAGACCAGCACTGGGGTGGGGGTGGGGGGTGGGTTGTGGAAATCTGACTGCTTCTTTAGCCAAAAACCCTGGGCGTTCATCAAATCCAAATGCAGCTGCTTCAAGGGATCATTTCATCCGGGCGTTGAAATGGACCGAGCCTTTATAAAGAGCTGTTGGTAGAAACAACACGACTGGCTCCACCACTGTCGTGCCTGATTATTGACAAAAGCTTTTTGTTGTCATTAGAAGAATCATTCCCCACCCAGCCACCCCTCAAGAGGTGGACTAGAACAAGAGTGTCAAACTCAAGGCCCAGGGGCCAGATCCGGCCTGCGGAGTGCTTAGATCTGGCCGGTGGATCTACTCTGGAAACAGTGAAGGACTAGCCCACAGCGCCTCCACCAACGAAAATGGAGCTTGGGGGGGAGGGGCGCCTGCTCCGTATGCACTGGCGGAAGGTTGCATGAGGCTGTCGCAGCCACCCAAGATCCATTTTTGCTGGCAGAGGCACTCGGTCCACCACAGGCATCCCCGACACGAGTGAAGTCTAGCTGGCCACGCCCACCCAGCCCCTGAGGTTAAACACAATGCGGCTGTCAATGAAATTGAGTTTGACACCCGTGGACTAGAAAATTCATCTGTTGGCAGAAAGGATGACGGCCAAAGCATTTGTTTTGAAATCTGTGGTCCAAAATTAACATTTGCTGCGGCAAGAGGTCAGGTCTTCACATTATCCTCTTGCCAATGGATTTGCGTGCACCTCCATTATCTCTTCCCTGTCCCCCCCCCCCTTGTTTCTTGTTCAGAGATAATTACTCTTTTCTCAGCATGTCAATTCCACTTTGGCTCGGCAGGGCAGTGAATCTGAATACCTTCTTGTATTTCCTAGGTTCCTAATATGCCCGGGACGACAATGCAGCCGTCTGGAGCCATGGCAGGTGGAGCGGTACAGCCTGCAGCCCAGCCTGGAGGCTTCAGCCCTGGACAAAATCAAGTCACACCCCAGGATCATGAAAAGGTAAAAGGGGGGGAAAAAACCATATATCCTAAAAAGCCTGACCTTGATTTCTTTTTAATCAAGTTTATGTTTCATCAAGTGAATCTTCAGAGTTGGTTTAATGGCAGAGTTCCAAGTAATAGACTCATAGCAAGCAGAACTCCAAGGCAAGTAGATTCCTCAAAGATTAGCTTTATTGGCTACTAGCGGGATACCCGTGCTTCGCTGCGAAACCATGTGATCGGGCTTGATAAATGGACACTTAAAGCTTGAAAATTAATGAGTAGTTTAAAAAGGCACTGTATTATTTCACTACAGACGGTAAGCTAAGTTTCTGTTACAGGTTAAGACACTGTTGTAAGTCTAACAACAATAAAATAGGTGGGCTTGAGCCCTTTAATCCCATCAGCACCCAGTTATGTAACTCCTTAGCATCAGAGTGTGTTAATATAAGGCAACCCGGCAGTTGGAACAGAGTTCTTTTCAGGTGGGGAGGGGGAGTAGAATGCTTAATTCCTAAGCATAAGAGCGTGTTAATATAATACCGTATAAGAAATACTAATGATCTGATGGTCATTTTGACAAATCCTTTCTTAGCAAGCACCTAGAAGCCAAGAGGAACATATATGCCAAATTTCAAATTTGTAGGCTTTACAGTTCTGGAGATTTCATGATGAGTGATTGGTATTTGGCTTTTATCTGTATAGATATCATATTGGCACAAATCTGTAAAACCCAACTCTGAAGGTTCCCGTGGTTTTCACCTAATTAAAAGTAAAAGTTTATCGCTTTCTCAAAACAATCAGTCACATGGTCCAGTCACGTCACTGTCTGGTTGCCTCCGCCTTCCTCCGACCAGGTGTGAGAACGTCCTTGGTTCCCAAGAGAAAGTATTTTGTTTTGGCTACAAAGTCCCAGATATCTCAAATCCCCCTCCTCCTCCCTTTCTCTCAGCTTCAGTGTGGTAACACTGAAGCTCCAAGATGGCTTCGGTCAGGTCAGCTTCAAGGTTGACAACGGTGCATTTTTCCCTTGAATTCCCCGTGGCAGCTGTCAATCCTTCCGAAGTGAGCCAACGGAAGGAAAGTACAGTTGAAGTTCTGTCTTCTAACCTTCTCAAGACTTTGCCTGAACATTTTGAAACAGGATTTTAGGCCAGAAATACTCTGTTCTGCTCCCCTGAGGTTGGATGATGCTTTCTGCACCATTATTTTTATTGCTTCCTTTCAGTGGAGTTTAGTGTTTGCTTCTGGGGCTATTAGCCAGCAAAGGGAGCAAAGAAAGGCTTTGAATTTGTAAAGAATCTTTTCTCCTCTCCTCCAACTCTCACTTAGAGAGATTTGATGCCCGTTTCAAATCCATTTCTTAATGTGCTTTAGAAATGCCAATTAGCCCGAGCTATGATTTCTTTTCTTTTTTTTTTACACTGTCCATTAACAACCTATCAAGTATTAATGGGGTATTTTGGTATTTTCTTCTATAAGGCCTTGGCCTGCAGCAGAAGGAGGTAGCCAATGAAATTTAGCAATAGCACTGATATACCGCTTTCACAGTGCTTTACGGCCCTCTCTAAGCAGTTTACAGAGTCAGCACATTGCCCCCAACAATCTGGCTCCTCATTTGACCNGGCATGGAGCCCCCGAGAGGCATGGAGCCCCCGAGAGGCATGGAGCCTCCTAGAGGCATGGAGCCTCCTAGAGGCATGGAGCCCCCAAGAGGCATGGAGCCCCCGAGAGGCATGGAGCCTAGAGGCCCAGGAATGGAGCCCAGGGGCCCAGGAATGGAACCTAGGGGCCCTGGTCCAAACCCCAGGGTTCCAATGACCGGTGCAATTCAAGGTCCAGGGCCTCTGAATATGGGAGCAGCCGGCCCACAAGGCCCTCGACAGGTAGGTGGAGACTGTACCTGAGACAAACACTTGATACTTGGACAATGTCTCTCCTCCTCCCCCCTCCCGATTACGCCAACCTTTGAATGGCACATTCCTTTTAAAGCTAACAGGACGATTGCATGCCGATTGCATTGGAACCGGTGGGAAGTTTCCTGCAACGGTATGGACCGCCTAGGATGAATTCAGCCCACAGGAGTGATAATTCAGCCCATAGCGGGGCCAGAGGTTTCCCTCCAATAGCCCTGGGTTGGTTTCCATTCAACTGCTGTCACCCAGTCACCTACCTCTTGACCCAAAACACCAACCCAGTGAGTTTGTCAGTGAAAGTAATTGGTCCTCTGGAAAGGCTAAAATGGGAGGCCTTCCCTGTATAGGATTTACTGTCTATCAGCACATGGGCTGTAATAAAGGGTTGGGTGGGTTGGGTTGGGCTGGATGGGATGGGATGGGTGAACTGGGTTGGGCGGGGCGGGGCTGAGTAGACTGGGTTAGGTTGGGTCGGCTGGGCTGGTTGGCCTTGGCTGAGCTGGCCCGGGCTGAGTGAACTGGGATGGATTGGGATGGGATGGATGGACTGGGATGGGATGGGTGAACTGGATTGGGTTGGGCGGGGTGGGGCTGAGTAGACTGGGTTAGGTTGGGTCGGCTGGACTGGGCTGGTTGGGCTGGGCTGAGCTGGCCCAGGCTGAGTGAACTGGGATGGGTTGGGATGGGATGGGATGGGTTGGATGGACTGGGATGGGATGGGTGAACTCGGTTGGGTTGGGCGGGGCAGGGCTGGGTTAGGTTGGGTCGGCTGGGATGGGATGGATGGACTGGGATGGGTTGGGTGAACTGGGTTGGGTTGGGCGGGGTGGGGCTGAGTAGACTGGGTTAGGTTGGGTCGGCTGGACTGGGCTGGTTGGGCTGGGCTGAGCTGGCCCAGGCTGAGTGAACTGGGATGGGTTGGGATGGGATGGGATGGGTTGGATGGACTGGGATGGGATGGGTGAACTCGGTTGGGTTGGGCGGGGCAGGGATGGGTTAGGTTGGGTCGGCTGGACTGGGCTGGTTGGGCTGGGCTGAGC